ATAGCACAGGCAGCCACTCGTCAGAGATTATGGTCTACAATATTCTGGATCTTGCTTGAAATGCAGTGTAGTTTCTTCAGTTCTGGGAGAAAGGGCCTGAATCAAGTTCAGCCCTTGCACTAGCTTGTGGGCTAAGAATAAAATAGCTCATGGGGTCTGCTAAAGAAGAAAAAATATTTTATCCAACTGTGGAGGTTGATGTGTAGGGGTAGTTTCTTCACATCTGATTATTCATAATAATCCTCTGTGTTAGAAAAAGAAGTGTAGCAAGAGCTACAGAAGGGTAGGAAACTAGTATTTACAATAAATGCTTGTTTTTATCAGAGGTTGATTACAACAGTATCTAGGTGATCCTTTCTCAGATACATCTCTGGTCTGAGAGTGCTTGCAATAGAGTTTGATTAATCTTATATTTAGCTCTAAATATGCCAATGGTAGAGCTTAATAGGGTCAGTAGTGTGAGTAAAATCTTCACTGACAGCTAGGGAGAAGACATTATTCCTTGTGAGAGCTGCTCTAGGATTGTTCACCAAGATGTGTTGCCCACTTTAGGTGTCTGCTCAAGCAGCAGTGGTGGTGTTTTATTCATGGAATGAATTAAGAAGGGGGAAGGTGGATCTTGGACGTGGAGTTAAGCTGGTGTGACATGAATGCTAAGGATGGTTGTTTTGAGGTTTTTCCTTTGAACAGGACTTTTTGGAGATTTTTCCCCACAGACTGTGCTTCCCTATGCTGAGCTAATGATATAAAACTGGTCTAAGAAACTCCTGAAGGCTTTGATGGGTATCACTTTTTTATTTTGAAACTGTTCAATGAAAAACCTCTTCAAACTTGCCCTCAAATGACAAAAACCAAGCATTAACATCTTTTTTTATTGCTACATAACATATATAACCTTTTTCAGTTTTGAGTTGTGGGATAATTGATTATAAACCATGTCAACAACGAATACCAGTTTGCAATTTACTGTTACCGAGGTTTGATGCTGCTGACTGTGAAATCTTCTGATTATATTAAATACTGACTTGGTATTAATTGAAAAATACATTTTAAGCATTGCATTTGAAGTATCATCATCTGTTTGCAAGAAAGTGGAAGGGAGGAGTGGTGGGAGGAATATAAAATTGTATTTTTAAAAATGTATTTAATATGCAGATTTAGTTAGTAAGCTGTTACTGTCAGATGGTGGTATTTTATCTGTGCACCATAGCTTGAAACTAACAGTCATTCTCCAAGCCTGAGCTGAGGGTGCATTTTTGTATTTTTTCCCAGTGTGTGTGTGTATTCAAACCTTGAGGGAAAGAATGCCTGCTGTGTCTAATTCCTCCTAGCACCTCTTTGAATAAAGTAGCAGCTAACACTTGGTCCTTTCATTAGTGTCCTGGTGATAGAACTTTGTATACCTAAATCCTTGAGCATTTTAGAAACGACTGCTTTGTGTCAAACATAAAGGAATGGAGCTAGTGAACAGAGTCATCTTTTCCAGCTTCGGTTATCTCTGAAAATTGTTTCTTTTCTTGTAATTGCTGAGCCAAGTTGGCAGAATAATTGCTACATGGACTTGAATGTAGATCAGGTTAAACTCATTTGCTATCCAGAAGGTGTTTCTGTGGTGCAGGCATTCAGCTTCATTGACAGCTTGGAAAAATATTTTTCCTTTCCATAAATTATACTAAGTAGTCTATAGAAAAAAAAAGTGACAGGCTAGTAGTGCAAAAGGTAACACATTGCAGTGTCAGTGACTGCCTTCCATTAATGTCATGTCAATTCTTTATTTAGTGTGGTTTTTCTTTAGGCTTTGCTGTATTAGAGGATATGGGCTTTTTTACCTTCCTAGGTTATGTATACCTGGAGAGGGAGAGTTGGTGGGGTGTTTGGTTGGTTGGTTTACAGGTGCATTGGTTTTGTTTTGTTCTTGGGCCTCTATGGTCTTGTCTTTTCTCCAAGACAGAACTGTAAGATGTGGGGAGGAAGAGACCACAGTCTCCCAGCTTTCCTGCCTGGGTGCAGCCCTCTGTGCTGCTCTGAACAAAGGGCTGTAGAGCAGATCCCCATCTGCCTCGCTGCTGCATCTGCTCCTGAGCA